GTATTTGGGGATATTGTTGATAGTACTAGTGGAGGAGACGGAGAGTTGGGTGTTGATTTTGGCCTTTATATAGGGAGAGAGGATAGGCTGCGGAGGGATTTAGGTGAAACTTGAATTTTTACAATGTTTCCAAAGATGAGAGTCTTACTTGCAAATGGGTTTTTGGTCCTTCATGTGTGCAAACCAACTAGACACAATCTGCGCTCCTGTGAAACGTAGCTAAAACATAGAACAACGATTCTCTAGGCGTCAGGGGCTCCTCATCGAGGGAATAAGTTAGATAGAGGCTGTCTTTGCCAACTTGAACGTTAGGCATTGTTTCAGTGCCCTACTAACGATAGTAGTCACAGAACCATATATCCATTATAAGACATCCAAAGTAATTACGTCACGACTCCGACCCCGTCGGTTTCTGTTTTTTTCTAGCTTCTTGGCATCTAGGTGTGGAAGACACCTCTTGATTACCTTTCCTATGCCAAGTAATGTCTCTTATCAATAAAATAGCCAGATTAGAGGCAGACGGTGTCCAATGTTCTGTTCCATGTAGTACCCTAGTCACACAAAATCACTCGATTAATTACACAAAGAGCGATGCCTTCTTTTTTTCTCCATAGGATCTGAATCACAATACCATATCCGCAAGGGAATTTATTGTGTACCCATGGTGGTAGCGAGTATGAATGAAACATAAGACTTATAAAGTTGATTTGTTGGCATTGATCGCTCCAGTCACTTTTCTAGCACAGACACAGGAGAGTTTGTTCCACCGAGACTTTGGAGAAAACGCGGCAGCCCCGCTGCTTTATTTTATCTCAGACCTGTAGAGAAGAGATTCCTAAAGGGACCGCCGAGATATACTCTTGCTAAAGTACCGGGTTGGCTGGTGACTTGTGTAGGATTTATGATTGGCAATGTTTGGCTAAACATGTCTCATGATCTGCTGGAGGGAAGAATAATAAAAAAACTTATAAGGGGCGGTTTACCGTTGATGATATATGATACAACAGAACCCATTTCCCCAATTTTACAACCCCCCCTCCACGCGTCTTTAGAATTTCAGGCACTGCAGACAGCTTTTAAGCTGAACCAGTCCCCCCCTCGCTTCATCACCCATTGTCACTCCTATTCCCCAGATGCTAACACGTCTAACTAGTGATGAACCCACTCCTTTCTCTCTCTTGTGCTCCTTTGGTCAGGAAAGTATTCGCAATCATCGGGGCCCCTCGCCTCATGGCTCCCCGCCCCGTTGTCCCCCAGAATACCTCCCAAATACGGATCTCGCCTTGCACCGAGCACTAATATCCCTCCGCAACAGGCCATCCGTACCATCTCTCGGCAGAACTCAGAAGATCAGAAAGGATGGACCATCCGGAGGATCACCCTAATTGAACTCAAAACCGCACCCGAGTAACGGAGACTGGATTGCGAGACGGCATTAACGCAGATACTACTAATTCATTTTTCTAGAGCCGTTTCTGGCAAAACCAGAAGGCCACGGCACAAGGTGTCACTTGAAAATTCATGAGTTTGAGCAGCCAGAGCAGAAAACCATGCCCGAGCACCGGTATTGGTGAAAACTGCAGTCGGCCACAAGTAGGCAGCTGGTTACAATTTCCGCTACCCGCACTACTATATCGATAATGGTTTCAATAATTTATCGTTATCCTTGCACCGCCGAACCGGTATACGGCCACATAATGGTAACGACGGGAATATCATAAGGTTATCCAACCAATTGCCCCTACAAATATCTATGATATGACGAAGTATGACAAATCGCAGAAAGAATTGATTGGCTTCGGTCTTACAAACCTTGGCTCTCTAGGTACAGGTGGGGTGTACAGTACATAGTACGAGTACAACAAACATGAACACCCGAGCACCTTTCAGCACCCAAGCAGCCGGCTTTTTGGTAAGTATTTCACAATTTCTTCCGACACTCTCACTCAAATCCCATTGCTCCCAAGATCCCGCCCGCCATGAACTGACCTAGATCAGGACAGTTTACAATGGATCAAGTTTTTTGAGGTTTATCCTAGACAAAATTCCTCTCCGGGAGCTCGGTGCTCTTGGTACCGATCCTGCAAGTCCTTGTCCAGGCCGGTTCCCAACGAGATTCTGCAGTAATTGACACTGTATGATATCACCTCACGTGACGATCGACAATCCAGTGCAAATATCATCGCCAAATGAGACAAAATGAAACTGACTATCATGCCCGAATGATAAAGCGACGGGGGCGTGGTTGGCTGGTGGCATTTTGGTCACTGAGAGAGTACCGGTATCGTAAAACTCGAACACTCGAGCAAATGGGCGAGGACGTTGGACCTCTCGGCCAGGAGGAGGAAAACACCGCAAACTCAGCCCTCAGTTGAGACAGGACAAAAGTAATATACACAGCGCCTTACTCGGAGAGGCAACTACAACGTCCTAGCAGACTTATCTTCCATCCAGTTTTTACGGCAGTACGGTATATTATAGAGCTGCTATAGGAGGAGGAGCACAAGCATCGTACCGGGAAGCTGTTTTCGCACAAAGGTCAGGGAAGAGGTTATGGAACGGTTACTTGAGGTTAAGGAGCAACACATATCCCTGTTTGTTCTAGTGAAGGGACTCCTACCCCTGTACTAGTACAATACAGGGATTATTCTGCAGGCTAACCTAGCTTTTACTGTGTGCTAACTTTCTTAGAGACAGTAGGGCACGAGTACCGTACCGTGGGATCTTAAATAGACTCCTTGAACCGTGTGCTAGGTACTGTACTTGTGGCCCGAAATTCCCTTCTCTCTGGAAGCGGGACGAAGAGTACTACAGTAGTGCAACAAAAGGTGAGTTGTTCAGCCCTTTCAGAGTCGTAAAAAAAAAACAGACCCTGCCAGAGGGGGCAACTCGTGCGAGATAGCACACTACCGTACCGTATGCAATAAGTTGAGATCCTAAGGTAGAGATGGGCACACCTGACCTTTTCCGTCCTTCGAATAAAAACCATTGGCCCCTCCTCTGGTTACACTCACCAAATTCTGGCCAATAAAAATTGAAATCGCCTCAGCTGTGCTCACCGCCGGAGTACTCCTACAAATGTTCAAGTGCGCGCAGAGAAGCACAGGCCAACCAGGGGGTAGCCTAATAGCCTGCTAACTCTGCAATGAGGCAAAGATCTCCTACACTAGGCCAGGCTGGTCGGCAGCATATCAGATTACTTAAGAAATCCCTTCCGGAAAAATACCTTCCCCAGCGGGGCAGTTGAGTTGCAGGTGAATTACCGCACCATACGAGCACTTGGGAACTGATAGAAGCAGAAGCATGTTACTCATACAGTACGATCCCGGAGGCCCAATCCCCAACCACCCCTGCAAGTCAAGAACAACATTGCAGAATGTTAGCACTATTTGGTCATATAACCATACCAAAGGCACCACATGGCACCATCACTCAACTTTGAGGCTTCCTGTATCGCGCTTTGCGCAAGAAAAATTCTCACCCGAGAATATTGAAATATAGTCATATCGATTATCGTCTACCCTGGCAATCATCCAGTCTCACTCGTTACAAGTTTTCTACCGATCATGAGAATTCCTCAGACAGAGGCTAAGGATCACGCACGGACGGGATATGCCTGGCAAGGGGATGTGGGATGGGTAATTTCTTCCCAACTGATTGCATTGACGAACCATGCAAGCGCAAGAATAATACACTCCGATCCGAGGCTGAGTGTCCTAACATATTCCTATTGGATGCGGTACTTGATGTGAAATTTGAACTGCGCGAGAAGGAGGATCGGAACTGTTCGCTGGTGATTTTGAATCAGGATTCCCTGTAAAAATCCTACTGGACTGCTCATGGGCATTGGTTTTCCGACTGCTCGAGTAATGGTTATCGGATGTACGCTACGAGTACAGTGCCAGCGGCGGAAACCTGTTTTTTTTTAGGGGTCTTCAAGTGCGGTGGTGTTCGTGGGGATTTCGTCCCGCTCTGCGAAGGCGCGATGCACGTCCATTTCACAATCCGCTAGCACTCACAACAGGTACTGTGCCGGGCTCGAATATACCACCTTAAACTGGCAATTGGTAGGATAAAAAGCACGCGCAGTGCGCAAGGTAACACGAGCCCTTCAAACAATGTCCAATTTTAATTCAACCGTATCGTACTCGAGTACAGTATTCTACCGATCGAGCGTTTGTGCAGGTTATAGGTGACCAAATTACCAGTATTGCTTTTCTCGCTTCGCTTGGTCTGTCCAATCTCTGGTGGCTGTGGGTGTGACTATTCGCTTGAGTGTGCCGCGAAGTATTTTCGAGGGAAAAGCAATCGTTATGAACACTGTTTGTGTTATCTGCTCGTTTATGATATACTGTACCGGTACCTCGAGTGTCCCTAATACTTGTAATTGTGTGGTACGAGGTGGCGGCTGAAGGCTCCCCAAGTTTCAGGGTGGGTACTCGAGTACTCGTACAGGTGCTCGAGCAGTGGGCGGTATCGCGAGAATTAAGACGCTTTGATCGGTTAACAATCAACGCGTTCAGATGGCTGCGTCAATCTCCCAGCCGACTCATTGATTCCTCGATGCCGAAATTGACATGGTTGTGGCTTGAAGGGCGTTCCTAAATAAGCTGCACAAAAGGAGCTTTGATCGGGTGGTTGTATGTGCAATTACAGGCTGCAGCTGTTGCCGAAGACATCTCTGCATTGCAACATATTTGTGTGTTGTGAGATATCACAATAGGATATAGTCTATCTCCAACTCCTCAAGTGGTAGTCTATTATCTACCTCCCTCCATTCGTCGATCGCTGGTATTTAAAGATTCTCCAATTAATAGCTATGATCTGCTTAAAATGTTCCCTCTACGGCCTTACCTAGCCCCCAATGTTGGCTCGTCTTGAATCTTGGATCTTGGGTTCCGATTGGTCGGTGCTCGGTAAAACCAAGTCGGCGACCCGGCAGCCAAACTCGAATCAGCGATCTGCCGAGGGCCGCAGGGTTAATTCAGCCTCACTGCTGGCTAACACTCTACTCGAGCACAACCAAGATCGTGCACCCTGGAAGGATATTAGGGATGAACCAGGGGTGAATTGGATTGTTGCTTAGTGAACCCCCCATATTATGGGGAATTTCAGCTGTGTTTGAATTATTCCATGCCGATCTTCTCTTTTTACGCTACCGTATCTGAAGTGAAGGCACCGACAGATTGACAGAATGGGAGACTCACGGGAGGTGCGGGGATGAGCTTCATCCAACACCAACTATTCGGTGCAAGTTTCTTTTTTTTTCCCTACGATTTTTTTCACTGGGTCATCCTTGTCGGGTACCTAAGGCACGAAACTTGGGCTGTGACCAAAAAGTAAACTCGGGCTACCGGGAGGACATGTATAGGAAAGGAAGTTGGTTTATAATAATAAGGAACCCACCCCAACCCAGCGTGTCTCTCCTCCTCCTTTCCCTGGACGTTGAAGCGAAGTTCCAGACTCACCTTGGATCATCTGGCACGAACGATGGCAACAAGAGGGCCCCGTCGACAGAACTATCGTTACTTTGATATCTGCATGCTAAAATCTCGCCGTTCGACTAAAAGACCACCGCTCAATGCAGTCTGTGAGGTTGTTCTTCCGCGGGAGATACACTCGCGCATCCTGGGGCACTTGGAAACGCTACATAGGGATCCTCTCGAGCCTTCATGTCCCACTTGCCTGGCAAGAGATCTCTCATCCTACTCGAAAGTGTGCATGGAATGGCACGCAGCCGCCATACCACAATTGTTTGTTGCCATGATGTTTCAATATGATATGCTGAGGTTAGGTGCTGACAAGTTTCAAATGATAGATATGGTAGGATATTCATCGCTGGGGGAGATTCGCTCGAGCTTCAGAAGCGGATGAAAATGCGGCACGGATGCCGAGCATGGCTTCTCCGGAAGACACTACTTGTTAGGCCTGATTTTGCTGCTATGGTCAAGCAATTGAAGTTGCCCGAATATCAAGACTTGACGGCCAGAGAGAGCAAGGAAAACAACAAGCTTGTAGCATCAATAGTCCAGTTGTGCCCGCACCTGGAAAGATTGGAGGGGCACTATCCAGTGTATAGGGTGGGTGTGAAGGATAGCATCCAGACCGCGCTCCTCTCTCGGGACTTTTTGAAGGAGCATATTTGGACGATTGGGTCTGAGGGGCCTATGCAGTTGGCTCAGTCAGAATCGTTCGCGAACGGGCATATCCGCTGGACCAAGCTGGAGACATTGATTTTGCAAGGAGGATCCGGGAACAAGGCAGGGTCGATGAGCCACCTCACCTTTGCGGGTCTATTCGAACGGCTTCCCTCACTCAAGAAGCTATTTGTGGCTCGATTCCATGACTACGAATTCGATAACAACACGCTTTTGGCCATACCAGACCAAATCGAGTACCTGCGATTAGAGGAGCTCCCTGGCGTAACGGACGCAGGTGTATCAGAGTACGTCGACCGAACCTCCGTCTGCCGAAGGATCCGCTCGCTATCATTGATAGAACTCGAACTACTCTCGACCCTTCTCATTTCCAAGATACTCTCCCGTCTAACGCACCTGGAGAAGTTCACACTAGTGCAAACCAGTAGTCCGCAGTTGCCCCCACAGTCGTCTACGGACAGGACCAAACCAACGTTTGCATCGGCAAGCCTACAGCTCCTCCACTGGGATGTACTAATCCCTGGACCAGCCAACGTTCTGCTCGCCCGTAGCATCTATTCTTCCGCCTTCCCGGCCCTAAAGGCAGTCCGCGCGCCATCGGATCACCACGGCATCATTCAGGCCGTCTGCAAACCACTCGAGCAGATCGTCCTCCCCTTCGACAGGATCGAAGCCCGCCTCTTGAGGGCGAAGCAGAAACAGCGAGAGGACAAATACTTCTACCCGGAAACCAGGTACTCCCGCTCGCTCCCTCAAGCGCGGATAAACGCACAGGAGCGAATTGAGGCGGCAAGACAGAGCACATTTATGCGTATTGTGGTGACCGAGGGCGCCGCGAAGAAGGAAGGATTAAGCGTCGACTTGAAGGCATTCATGGGGGACTGGAAGAGCAAAGTCAAGTACGAGCTGCTACCGGATCTTTGGGGCAGCGAGTTTGCTGTCCTGACGGTTGCGGGCCTGCTTAATGCCCGGGTATCCACAGAGTGGAGACCGGGTGATGGGGTGGAGATGTGCAGCGGCAGGTGGAATTCCACCAGCTTTGCTTCTGGGAGAGGGGTCAAGTGGTGGGGACATACTGAGCGGACACCCGGGATGAGGGAAATGGAGTTGGCTATGCTGTTTTAGTTCTTTGGGCATTATTTTCTTGTGTGTGGGTGGGTGTGATTTGCTAATTGGAGTTTTTTGGGTCTTTTGGATTCGGGATTTGGGATTTGGGCGTTATGAAGATTACGGAAGGGGGGGGGAAGGTAGGGAAAAGTTGGGGAGGTTATAGGTAACTTAATTAACTAGGAATCTGTTATTAATTTAATAATATTATGGTTTTATCCGTGTGATACGTCCTCTATGGACAATAGTGCGATACTGTAGTTGTATTAAAGTTTGATGGTCTCTCACTTGGGAAAACCGGTATGGCTCCTGCCCCCCAGCTGCTCTCATTTCCGCCAAAGGATCATCTAAAAAACGACTAGACAATTTCTATACAATTTCTACCTCCAGCTCTCACCTCTCATCTCCCTAACTTCAATCCTACCACTCGAACCCCCCTTAATACTCCCCCCGCTGCGTAATCATCCAGGCAAGACTCGTTGAAGAAACCAGCAACGGTCCCATCAACCCAGCATTCAACCTATTCTCCAGATTAGCCACAATCCCCCCCCCGTTCGAGAAAAATTCAAGGAAGAGCACAACACTAACCCAGCACTCCCAAAAACCAACCACTCACTAACAAAGTGCGCGCCGGCAACGACGTAGCTCCAAATCGCGAGATCATAAACGATGGGGTCTTGAATGTAGTAAGCAGCGTGGATGCGTAGGATTGCGCTGAGCACGGTCCACGTGCCGAAGGTGCGGGATGAGAGCGCCGTGACCTCGTGCGGACGCGTGCAGTATATGCGTTTGTTGTAGCGCAGTGTCAAGTACGCTTGTATGGAGTTGCCGAGCGCCACTACGGCGACGAAGAGTAGCCATTTTGGAAGCAAGCCGGGAGTTTGGGGAAGGCAAGATGTTAGGTAGTCCATTTTTTTTTTTCTTTTGAGGGTTTTTAGACTTGGTGGGTGATGGTGGTGGTGGTGGTGAGGCTCTGTGGGGGGAGGTGGGAGGGTGAAGGAAAGGAAAGGGGAGGGGGGAGAGAGGGGAAAGGGAAGAAAGAGGAAGGGTGGTGGGTGGTTGTTGACACTTGTTGTTGACATGTTGTGTGTTGATTGCTAGGGTGACGTGCGGAGAAGCTGGGACTCTCGGGAGGGAAAATTCCCGGCTCCCTCACCCCCTACGGTATCATCCATCGATCGGTCCCTCCCGGCTTGTTGTGCATTGTTAGCAAGGAAAGGCTGCCGTACCGGTAGAGCATCGGTATTATGGACGAAGCTGATAATCCATCCCCGATCGGAGGATTTGCTTACCCCATTCTAACTTGGTAAAGTATGGATGCTTTCAGCATCCATGAGACTCAAACCCAGTTCTTTGCCACTGGAAAGCAACGCGTTTGCCATTACGCTACAGTGCGAGTGGAGAGGTTGATTTGCGCGCAACTGTTGAATTGTGGGGGAGCAATGGGTTGTGTTATGGTCCTGTGGCTTGTTTTTCGCTATGGTGCCGGGAACCTGGTTGGGGTGCTTGGGCTCGTTTCATCCGCGCGGGAGGTATTTGTCTCGATTCTTTTGCTGGTGAAGAGAGAGAGAGAGAGAGGGTGGAGTGCAGCTTTGGCGGTCACTCTCGGAGGATTTTGCGGTTGATCGTTGTGGTAGGTATTTACACCTGGCGTTAGGATACCGGTATGTGTCAGTAATGGGCTAGTTCCTTCGGGATTATCACTAAACTACCAATTGCAAACTGTTTTGAATAATGGTTGGACAACCACAGTTTTCGCGTCCGTGGCCCCCTGTGTTTAGGCGCTGTTCGTTCGCGGTTCGAGGAAAACATTCCACAATGTCCCGAAGGCAGTGAGGGAGGGGAGAGATGCGAGGCCACCTTCGCGACGTCATTACTCGATTTGCCCATAGTTTGACATGAAATCAGCCGGTATGATACAGTACTTGCACCGTAGCAGGGTGTTAGGATATCCGATGGAATTTGGAAAGTTGAGAGGTTCAAATATGAGACCTTTCAACCTTTTAACCCTACTAACAGGCAGACATGTCTTGCCTTCGATCGAGAGCTGGATACGAACACCCCTTTCCCCCATCTCACCCTCTATTGGTTCGCTAATCTCTTACCAATACCTCGTCTGGAGACCGGCAGAAGGTAGCGAGTGTGAGAAATGAACGATCGTGAAATCTTGGACGACATTTCCCACCGTCGGTATAATCCGCTTCGTGGATCATGGATTCTCGTTTCACCGCATCGTACGAAGCGGCCGTGGCAGTAAGATTTGGTATCCCTGTCCTGTTTTTTAGAGTGATTGAGGGGCTAATAGGGTTATAGGGGTCAGAAGGAAACCCCCTCTGAATCGTCGCTTCCGGCTTTCGATTCTTCTTGCTATTTATGTCCTGGAAATCCCCGGGCAGCGGGCGACACCAATCCGGCATACTCGGAAACATTCACTTTCGTCAACGACTATAGTGCCGTGAAAGAAGATCAGCCAGACTATGTTCAACCAGAATCCGAAGGTAGGTTCGTCTTGTGGAGTGTGAGGATGGTACGCAGAGGCTTACCAATGAGGTGATCCCAATAGGCAAGCTCGCCCTTCTGCAAGCCACCGGTGTTCGAGGCAAATGCTACGTAATATGCTTCAACCCATCCCACAACCTCACCCTGGCAGACATCCCGGCCGGGATGATAGTCCCAATCATCAAAACCTGGACGGCACTCTACGCATCCCACCTCCCCAAATCATCCCCACACTACCGGGTACCAGCGGCAGAGCTCGGGATCACGGTCCCTAGAGACCAGTATACCTACATGCAAATATTCGAGAACAAAGGTGCAGCTATGGGCTGCTCGAATCCGCATCCCCATGGTCAAGTCTGGACGACCACTTGCGTCCCCGAGGAACCCAGTCTGGAGATTCAGAATATGAAGGAGTACAAGCGCAAGCATGGGACTGGGCTGTTGAAAGATTATGTGGATCTTGAGATTGCAAAGATGGAGAGGGTTGTGGCGCTCAATGACCATTTTGCAGTTCTGTGCCCTTGGTGGGCTGTATGGCCGTTCGAGACCATGATCATTTGCAGGAGAGAGGTGCGCAGCCTTCCGGAATTGACAGAGGAGGAGCAGGTTGGGCTCGCGGGTGTTATTTCTATTATCACGAAGAAGTACGATAATTTGTTTGAGACGAACTTCCCTTATAGTGGGTAAAATCAACCAGAACTTGTTTTGCCTGACGGACTAACCGTGCTACGAAAGGCATGGGAGTACATCAGGCACCACTTGACAGCGACCCGGAAGACCGTGAGGTATGTCACCTGCACCTGCACTTCGTCCCCCCACTGCTCCGTAGCGCTGCAGTGAGGAAATTCCTCGTTGGGTAAGAATTACTCACCCTCCTTTTGCCCTCACCCCCCGCTAAGAAAGATATAGATACGAGCTCATGGCCGAGCCACAACGCGATATCACCCCAGAACAAGCAGCAGAGAGGCTGCGGAATCTCAGGGGCGATGCGGTTTATAGGGGGAAACTGACGCAGAGTACTGAATCCTGAACTCTCGACGGGGGACTTGACCACTATTATTTCTAGATTTTAGGGGGTTTCTTTTTGTTTTCGTCCAGTGAGTTTTTCTGGCACCACGCTACACCTCGCTAGCATTTGCCATGACATCCATAGACGACCGGATGGGGGCGGGTGACAATCAAATTATTTTTTACTATTGATGAAGTACTAGTACAGTACATTCAGAGCGGTTGATTGCTCAGCCAGGTGGGATAAGTGTGGTGTTATTTCTGTCCCGACTGTGGATATAACATATATCACTACACCCTTCTCTAAAATTCAGTTTACTTCCACTTCAGCTATGCTTGTGGAACTTAATGCCTCGAGCTGCGTTCTCCCAACTCTAGGAGAATTTCCATCATAACAGGCCATTAGCACAGTACAGCACTGAGGAATGCCAAATCTACCACTTAACCTAGTTGCGATATGCTCATATGATGTTCCCGCACCTCAACCTTCCTATTATCGAGATCTATACAACATGTGGACCGCTATAGGGCTGTCTAGTAATCCTTTACGTTAAAGAATCGCTTGCTCGAAGGTCACAAGAAAATAACACTCTATCTCTAGTCCATGCCTCGAGCCAGACATCACCCTTTCGACCTGTATAAATGGTTTTCTATCACATTATCACAGAAACCCACACTCTACATCACCCATTAAAAGCACATACTAACGTTAGCACTACTCAATGAAGGTGACAATCTATGATTCGCGCATTCTCACTCAAGTTCGACTCGGAACATTTTGATATCATAACTCCCCTCGACGATGCCCAGAACACCCGTATGCCAGTCTTATCTGATCTTGGGCGGAGAATTTCAGATAGTAAATGGGGGATCTATCAGGGCCGAGTTACGAAGGCTGAAAGGATGTCTTTGCATGATATTACTTTGCAAGCCACTCTTTGGATTCAGTACATATCCTATTTTTAGTGATTACGTGCAAGGTATCTCCACCGCGAGTTCGAGTGCTCCCGGACGCATCGGAGCTTTCGGTGTTCTCCAGGTGTAGTACTTTCCTCTCCTGGGGGAAATACCCGTACCTTCTAATTCCTGGTTTTATTCTTTTGTACCTAACTTAGCTAGATTCTATTCGCACCGATTCGTGATGTGGACTTTCTTCCGGTTGGGGGGGTTCGCATAACATCCGTCCGGCGGTTTGGCTTCGGGTCTACTGTACCAGGCAGTTCGATTGAGCTAGTAGGGTAGGGCAAGGTCTTTTGTCCGCGGTTTTTAACCTTCTGCCTATCTGGTGGGGATCGAGGGGGAGATAAATAGCGCAGCGGTAGAGGGTAGAGTGAGAGGACTTTTTTTGGGACTTGTGCACTAAGAAAGACGGATATGGTAAACAACTTTGTTCTCTCGTTCTTCCTAATGGGGTAGGTTGAACTAACGGTAAAGGCAGGTTGTATAGATAAAGCATGATCAAAGCGTCCTGATCCTTCCATAGATCACCGCACATATGATATCTCTTGTCTGCAAATGTCCACATCCCTCCGCACACTTCCATGATAACAAAGGAAAGATATGTCTGTAGAATCTTCCCCGTAAGTCACTAAAGCTTGAGAACAATCCATAATACCCTTAAACAACCCACAAGACTCTTGCAACTTGCAGAATCACTTCCACTCTTCCTGTGCCCACCGAAAACCTCCAACACTACCAAGTTACCATGTGCCCGTAGTTGTATACACAGCGGGTCACGTTAGGAGATCGTATATTTTCTGTTCAATCCTCCGCTAGCAAGGATGCAAGAAGTATACTATAAAGGAAACCATGTATTAGGAAGGCTTTGGGTTGCTAAGGGTGAGTACTGTACGTATCGAGGAAGTGTTTCCTTAAATCTTATTAATAGTCTCATCTATAAATCACGAATACCATAACATACCTTAACCAGCTCTTGAATCCTGCGAAAGGCAAGCAAGGAGGACAACCTGATGGCTGGACTTCCGGCACGGGCAGTATCCCACTACTAACCGGACTCGATTCTTCACAATTCATTCAGCCCAGATAAGCTCCAGATCAATGCCGGCACAGCACAGGGCCCATCAACCAAAACCTTCCCTCCACCAAAAGCATCCTTCTTGGAGAGTACTGGTATACCGAATTATCAGCATTCAAATTTTTTAAAAAAACTTTGGGAATAATTCCGCAGGCCATTATGTAGAGGGTCTCTTGCAAAGCGTCTAACAGCTTTTTATCTTCTTTTTGTTCCTCAAATGTGTTCGAAATTAACAACTGGAAAACAGGGTGGTTCGTAAATAGGTGCTACGAGCTCAATTAAGGCTCTAGCTACAACGGCTTCCTGTATGAATAATATCACTGGAGGAAGCACCGTAGTGCTGTACTTAAGGGGACGCTATCACAATTTATATATTTCAGCTCGAGTCGGCTACGGGTGAGTATGGCGAACAGGCCAGTAATCTATATCGACGAGATTGGACTCCAACCCCGCAGTCACACGAAGTAGACCTTATGATAATCTCTCGGAAGGGGCTATTTGAATAGGATAACCCTGAGAAGACAAATATTTATCTGGTGACGAGAAATGACACGTGGACACAAATCAAGTCCGTGGGTGCACATGACCCCGAAGGATTATTTATTCGGGAAACTACAGAGTGTCTCGACCAAGGACAAGAAACCTAAAAATCTAAGGGGAAATGCAAATAGACCAGAGGCGAAGGACCGGATCAATGCATTCTCTAGAATAAGCTGAATTATCAGAAACTAGAATTGGAACAGCTGTGGGTCGGGATTCGTGGTGCGTGGTGTGACAAGCACTCGCACTGCTGCTTTGTGTCCCTCATACATTAATAGTCGTAAAAGTAACAGTAGTAATGAAATGGTATTTTTAAAAATAAGAAACCCCCCGGAAAAACAAATATTATAAACTACGAATGCATTCCTACACGAAATTGCTGACTGTCGCCCCAAAAGGACTAGCCCTGGAACCACAGTTACCTCGCTCTTTAAGGTGGGCATTCCACCTTTCTTCACCTGATCTCAACTCAGTGCTTATCCCAATATGGAAAATTAACTGATATTTCCCTCCCCCCAAAATTGCCCGGGTCATATATATTGCGACAGAGAAAACCTCCGAGTGCTTCGTGATTAAAGTTGGTTTGCAATTCCTAATCGAGTGATAGACAATGATTCAATACCCAAAGTTTCTGGCAATTCCAATTAACAAACGAACCTGGACATACTCCAATCCCTGCACCCTCCGTCCTGCCCTGTCCGTCCAACCAGTCAATACCCACCCACTAGTACCCACCCACTGGTAAGGTTCCCAAGTGCTAAGCCACCGCATGAACGAAGACTACAAAGAACGTGTATGTGCCTGCAGTTGCATGTCTTCGCTGGGAGGGTTTTGCTGACGATGCCAAGCACAAGGATAGTCACACTACCTGTATCCTCACAGAGGGTATAGGGTCGTTTGTGGCGAGGTATATGCGTTCGGGCTGTTAAACTCTGCTAGGTGTTGACGAGGTTGGGTTTATTGGGAGTGTTCGAGTAATAGTATTGAGTGGTAACGAGCTCTGGTGAATGGTATGTAGTACCGTAGAATTCCTGAAATAAGGAGAATTGCGGACTTAGACGCACTTAGCAACTGGCTAACACAAACTGTACTTACTTTTTGATACCAGCACTTGAGTAGACAATTTTATTACAGCAAGATTAACTGTTTTCCAACAAATTTTCATCCTCATTTTCCCTCTCTTTTATCTCTATTCCTGTTGAAGTGTTCTTTTCATCTAGTATTTTTAAAAGCTGCTCCCAATTGTCCTTTAACAAAACTTTCCTACTCATCTGATGTTTCCCTTTACTTCTCATTTTGAGATCACAATTCAAGCCATGTGTCCCATTAAAATCCACCTATAGTTTAGGCAAATCTTGAAGGTTGACCTGATAGTCCTCAGATTCATCAGGCTGGAGGGGATACCAGTATTACAAAATAATCTCTCAATAAGATCTTGGTATTCTTGATGTAATTTCTTCCAAACATCTCCAATACTCTTGGTAATTAATGTATGCTATTCATGAACATGAACCCTTTCCAAGTCCTTCGCTAGAAACTGACCTTTCCATCCTTCTTCAATATACTTTTTCAAGAAACAAAAGAGAATATCCTATTTTTTTTTTCATGTTCTAAGACTAGTAAAGGTATATATATTTTATTAGCATATACTACATAGACCAGAAACTTCCTTCCCTACTAAGGTTCCAGCAGGCAGATAAAAAACTGTTAAATCAGAAAAATATCTGTTAGCAGTCAGATGCCTGATTGTCAGAAATCATAACTTAAATATAGAGGGGTCTCACCTAGAACCATAAATACCCAACTAGGCTTGGTTACTGGTCCCATTTCTCAGGAGCCGGAACAAAATAACCTCGGTTAATCTCATTAACTGAGAAAAAAAATCAGCCAAATCGGACTAAAACTGATGGAGCTAGAGCTATTTGAAGTTGTTTAACTTCAAAGAGCTATAACTCACTCAGTTTTGATCCGATTTGGATGATTTTTTTTAACTTGGAGTTAATAACCTGGTCTTGGTGCTCCCTTTATCGGAAATGGGCCCCATAACGAACGCTATATCCAACCAGCCATTGCTGTAAAAAATACTCATAAGCGGTAATCTTGGAGTAATTACCATCAGATAATCATATCTGTAACAATCCTACTCTTGTGTACTTAGTTCTTTAACAGGTAATGAGTATACCGCTTTGGTTTCCCTGATCCTTCGATAGCTCAGAGAGTTCTTAACATCACTATCACTTCTGATAGTGAAGATCATATTGTACTTGCATTACCTCTTGTAAGTGAGACTTCTTTCTCACGTAGTGTTACACAAAGTGTGTATAAAGTATTGATTTGATTTGTAGTATAGGAAAGAACTTAAGTGCTTGCATGAGGAGTCTGTACTGGAGGTCCTTACTTTTTTTTTGTTTTTTGTTATCTTTTTATATCTCTAGTTTTATGTAATGTAAAGTGCTGAGGTCCAGCCAGCTAGCACTATAGAGACCCTCATCTCCTCCCTGCCTTGTTCTCCAGCAGCCAGAACAAAAACCATGATCCTAGAAAGGGTGACACTAGTAGCCAGGTGCCCGATCCTCAGATCTTACGACTTGAATGCGGAAGGGTCTTGCCTAGAGCTACCAATACCAAACTAGCCCTTGGTATAAAAAACTCCTCTGCCAGTCTCCCATATAGTGATGTACCAGTAATAAAGACAGAAAGCCCAGAAACTAATTCCTCAAAGTAAGGTAAAACTCCTATTCCAATAGTACACCTACCACCGAACAAAGGAAAAACCAAACTGCTAGTCAAAACCAGCTCTGTGCCTACGACAACCAGATACCCAGCCTGACCTGTGAGACAGACTACTCCAGTAAAGTCAAAATAAAGAATAGGTATGCCATATAAGTGACATAAATGTATGTCTTAGGCTTATAGTCCAGGGATATGAGTAGGAGAAACTATAAGAAAAGACAGTACCAGAGGTCCAATTTTTTTTCTTTTTATTAAAAAATTATTTAGTTACTTGTTTAAGGTATAAGAATATCACATGCAGTGCTAGCTACAGTGTTAAAAAAACCCCTCTACTCTGGACTAAAAGAATGCCTGTACCCCCAAGATCCTCTGGTATGGGCCCAACTGCACACACTCCAAAGGCAATCAACTCAGGTGCATAGTCTGTAGACCTCATAACTTGAATGGGAAAGAGTCTTGCCTAGAAGACAACCATACTTCCAAGAAGATTTCTCGCCTGAATGACTACTCCTCCCGCTAACTACATGTAACTAATAAAAAGAAAGCCCAACGAGGTAGGCAGAAAAGCATAAGGAAAAACTCTATCCCATATACTACTAGACCTGTAAGGGCCATAAAAGAAAATAGCAACATTGTACCGAACTGCCAGATTGCTGTTTATGAAGAATCATTCTTGAAGTAGGCCGTAGGAGAAGAGTCCTAAGGCCAGATGCTTCCAACAAGCTGAGCTATAGATGTAGTGCAATACCATGACCTGCTAATCAAGAACAGGAGCCTTAGTGTCAGGTCTAAGAAGTAGATGTTTTAGTAGAGGAGATGCCACACAGCAGTAGAGTGCCAGCCAAAGATCGACCATGGGTAGGTAGCAAGCTGAAACCCAGGAATACCAGGTGGTAGAGGGGGGAGGTAGTAGGTTACCAGCCAAGCAGGGAAGGTAGTAGGTTGTGAGCCGATGCAAACAAAGTGGAAGATGGAGGAAGGACCAAAGGCCCCAGTGCAAACCTGACTGTAGAAAATGAACTATTATTGTTTTATGGTATCTCTTATGTAGTTCCTTATTCTCTGAGAGATAGCATCACTTAGGGGAAGAGATCCCATCAGTGGCGGAGAGTCGGAAGAGCGAAGGGAGGAAGAAGACTGCAACATGAACTGAGCGACTAAGAGAGCATAGTTAAATCTCACCATGAGACAGACCCCGAAGTTACTAG